TTACCACAGGTGGAGCTTGACTTGCAGCAGATCTCTTTTTGGATTGTCCTGATACCCCAAGTTGATCCATATTCCTTTGTTTCCCAATGCCATTAATTACAAGGAAAACATCCGTCATAGAAATTCTAAATCCCCGATTTGAATGCACCTTTATGATATAAGTGAACGAATATTTTGTGTCAGAAAGGATTGTTACATACCTTTCTCAGAAACAATCAATTTTCTTTTCTTATCGGTGGCAGTGACACGTGAAGAGAATCCTCTGATTTATATTTGAAGTTACGACTTCATTGGTGGCAGTTCACGGAGCTTCTCATTTACAGAAACTTATCCCAACAATAAAAGACGGATCAACGCATATATTTCATAGAGATACATTTATACATATGTAAACCTGAGAAAAAATATTATCATGAATTATATTTTATATCTGCAGTTGCATGGCAATAACGTAGATTAACACGTGCACGCCAGTTTATTTATAGGCTGAGCTCCAGCGCTACACTTACTCTAGATTTCGATGTGACAATTTCCTCGTATTTCTCCATAAATCAATACCTGAATTTTCTGTATATGTAAATGAAGGTAACGAAACTGGAGAATATAAGATAAAAATCAGAAAAGAAGCTGCGACTGGCTTCAAAGACAAAAATTATTTTCTTTTTTTTAATTTCATAGGTTTCGCCCTTAAGTTAGCTGAAGTTTCTTGAGAAATCCTTTCATGCAAAACCGTCGGGAATAAAAATAAGTTGCATACTTTGTATCTTACTTTAAACATTTGAATTTTGTAAAATTAAATTAGAAAATATTTTTAATTAACAATAACTTCTGATCAGAGCAAGCCCTACAAAGATCGAAATTAAAAATGAACCTGGTAATCAGTATAGCAAATTAAATATTGTTTTCTTGCTTTTTGTACTTATAAATATTAGAATGTATTTTAATCAGTTAGGTACCTTCGCTGTTAACGACATTTTCGGCCTTAATATCAGTATCTTACGAGGTTCGGCCAGCTTAGGAAATTTAGGTTAGTCTTAAAAACATACACCAGGTTAACAATGCAAAACAATATCCATAATAAAAATATAATAATAAAAGTATATATATATATATATATATTACACATTTAAACCAGCTGGACCACAACAAACACAGTAGTAGTTGGAATATTATTTATGTAAGCCATTTGTTACGACAACAATTGTTATGGTGTGAACGCCTTTTTCAAGCTGGCGAAGAATGAATATAATTAATTTACTTGTGTTTGTTGTATCTCAGCCGCCCTGATGTGTTCTCGACTGAGCGTGAAGCGTCGTTGGCAATAGATACGGCGAACAAAGCGTGGTTCGAATATAATTGTTTTACGCTCTTCTAATTCGTGAAAAATCCTAAGGGACTAGATACAGAATGCAATGTTTAAAATATGATAGACCTAATACTAATGTCAAGTGCATGAATTATAATCATGCTTTGCCAGCTCGAAAAAGGCGTTCACACTATAACAATACTTATTCTGACCAAGGCTGTTAATGAAAGTAAAAAGAAAGAAATAATATAGTATTTCTTATTTACGAAACACAGAAACATTACCCATCTCTTCGCTTCAAGTACCGGGTAGTAAATTTGGTTTTATGTATGTGTGTGTGGCTTGTAAGTATGAAAAGACCAACGTTAGTGAAAGCTGTTGGTTTAATATATTAACTTCACAAAAATAAGGTGGTCTTTAGTTAGTATCCTATATAATCACCTAAGTCTAATTATTAATTAACTCTAGAGAACTGATACAGACACATATATATCTCACTGGTATAGAAAAGGTGGCTTCAATAACTTCAACAGACTCTTTTCCAAAATCCGAACCCTTTTAAACGTGTTACTGCTATATCTAATACAGCCACGTACACATACATGTTTCACTCTAGGTCACTACTACGAACACGTTTATATCTCCCTCTCGAGCACTGTCACGGAAACATAAATGTCCCCTTTTGCTTGTGTTACTTCACACACCGTTTCCATATAACTATATTTGAAAAACTGCTGATCAGAGCATCAAAGTGATTAATGGTCAACCTAAAGAACAGGAAGAGAACGAATAGTCAACCTATAGAACAGGAAGTGAACGAATTCTTTTGCTTGTGTTACTTCACACACCGTTTCCATATAACTATATTTGAAAAACTGCTGATCAGAGCATCAAAGTGATTAATGGTCAACCTAAAGAACAGGAAGAGAACGAATAGTCAACCTATAGAACAGGAAGTGAACGAATTTTTTAAATCTTGTAAGTATTAAACTACAGTTTTTGTTTAAATCTTGTAAGTATTAAACTACAGTTTTTGTTTAAATCTTATAAATATTAATCTAAAGTTGTTGTTTTTAATTTTAATAATATTAAACTACAGTTTTTTGGTGTGTGTTTTCCAGAATGCCCACAACTGTAAAAACAAGTTTGTAGTATTCGGAGCGAAGTTCAAATTACTGAACACAGGAAGGGGCACATGAGCTCAGAAAGTGAAAACGTTACATATTATGCTTCAAATTTGGGTATAGCCGCAATTTAACATAAGATAGTAAGTACAAGTGCACTTGTCTTGGTCAAGTTATATTCCTTACAAGCTGAGGTACCCGTTCTTTGTAGGGGCTATGAATTTAGGGGTAGATGCTATGATAAATAACATAAAAAACCTAACTTTCACACAATTTATTTATAACATAACATATTATTACAGTTTTCATTATTACCTCACCAAAAGTTTTGTATACGCTTTAAGAAATCAATATGTATATACTTAAAACATGGTATACACTGTGTGATGGTGAAGGTGACTTTGTAGGAAGAGGTAGCGGACAAAGTAGTGGCGGTAGGGGTGCTTTCTGTTATTCGCTTTCAACACCCAGCTTTTAATGTCCTTCCACAGTGTTTCGCGTGATTAATTAATTTACGGTTATTGGCCGCAGAAGTGTCACACGGACCGAAGTTGAAAGGTTACAGGTCAAAGTAGGAAGTGGGTATAACTCAAGAAGCAGCTCTTCACATCAGCCGTATGATGACTGTTGGAGTTGAAACTTTAACTGAGTTTAAGTATTATTGCAATAGTGGCGGTCATTTTTTCATTGCATTCCTCCATAGAGAGTGATAGCGCACTCTCTGAGATATATAAGACGTTCGTGTGCCCTCCATCACTTTGTGCATGTTGTATAAAAGGAAATTTAATAATATTTGTATTGAAGTGCGTGGCGCCATCTATGAATCTAGTTAACGTAAACTCATGCCAAAGACAATAAATATTCAATAACAGCAATAATCGTGGGTGGAGAGGGTTGTGAACTCCCATGAACATGCCCCTCGTTCCAAACTATCACCCCACAAAGTTTGGTTGAGATTGGACCTGCGACCTAGGAGTAGTTAGATAACGAACAAACAGACACACAGATTTTTTTATGCTTTATATATATATATTTATAATGTACATTCTTTTTCACATGCATAAGTATTTTAGTTATCAAAAATAGTGTCACGCCAGTTTTTACGTGCTATATTCAATCACTTGTGTTTCGATACAGGGTTTAAAATAAATAATCGCTTTAGCACCAATAAAAAAACGTACCGCGGAAGCTGCACGCTGAAACCTTATGCTGGTTACGAAGTCAACTGTTTAACACTGCAGTATTTTATACACATTCATTTAAGTAAGCAATTTTTGGAATATTCACCAGAAGGTGAATGTACACAGTATTACCGTTGACGACAAAATCTTAAGTAAACCAAAAAATAAAGATAGTAACTCACCCCACGGGATTCTGCTCTGTGAATTAAGAGTGTGTGATGGTCACAACCGTTCTGGCCCAGAGATCCTCTTCTCCTGTCTGGGTCAACTGAATGTCGTCTCAAAAAGGCACCTGTAAACAATACACAACTCAATGTTGAAATACTCTGTAAGTGATGTGCAACTCAATGCCGAAATAC